AGATGGAGAAAATTATTGTCAAAGTTTGTCAGGACTAGTGCTGTGTATTTATTAAGAGAGAGAAAGCCAGGTGGTGGTGGCACATACCTTTAATCCCAGCACTCAGAATCTCTGAGTTTGAGGCCAGCCTGGTGTATAGAGTGAGTTCCAGGACAGCCAGAGCTACACAGAAAAACACTGCCTTGAAAATCGGGGGGGGGGGGGTGGAGAAAGAGAGAGAGAGAGAGGTCAAAAGAAGGTGTGTGTGTGTGTGTGTGTGTGTGTGTGTGTGTGTGTGTGTATGTATGTATGTATGTGTGTGTGCCTTTTAAGGATGCTTGAGTGCTTGAGTCTGGCAAATCTCAAATCTGTAAGTCATCCATTATTGTATTTGAGTCTTCAACTGATTGCCTTAGGTTTACACATATCTTGGAAGGCAGAATGTCCACCAATACAAATATCAGTTTCATATGAAACTACCCTTACATGAACATACAGAAAACTGTTTGACAAAATACCTAGGAAATATGTCCCAATATATATGATATATAAAATTAACAAGGTTCAGAACTTACAGAAGTGGTTAGTGAGAATGTTCAACAGGCAAAGGTATTTGCTACCAAGCCTGATGACCTGAATTCACATGGTAGAAGGAGAGAACTGATTCCAGAAAATAGTCATCTCACCTCCACAGGGTGCTGTAGTGCACAAGTACACACACACACACACACACACACACACACACACACACACAGAGAGGAATTAAATAAGATGTAGTAAAATTTGTTTAAAAAAGAACTTACAGAAGTCAAAATTATTAACACACACAAAGAACTTGATAGTGTTGAATGAAGATGACCCAGAGAAAGTGGAGTGGATTTGCAAGAAAAACAAACAAACAAACAACTACAAAAACCCCAACAACAGCACTAAAGGAACTACTGGAATATTTCAAAAGACTAAAAGCCCCAAATAGGTAGTATTTGAAGCTGATCCAGAACAGAGATGACTGGGACGATTTCCCAAAGCCCAGGAAGGACTCCTGCTTGAGGCTCGAGCTATTCTCAGTAGGAGCAAAGAAGTAAAACATTCTCACTTCTCAGCGTCACTAGTGTTTTAAATTACTAAGTAGTTAATACTTCAGATACTTTTATTTATAATTTCCTATGACCGAGATTTTATGTGTTGGCAAAAGTATTAATGAGCCCAGAAGGACCCAACATTTCCATTTATTGTTAAGAACGGCTTTAGCTTGAGGGCCGTTTTTATAGTCCTTCAGCAGCATCCAAAGTGAGGTCTGCAGGTGGTCTAATTCATCTGAAGCCCAGTCTCAAGGCTGCAACTCCACTTCAGTATTGGGAAAGCCAGTAGCTTCTCTGTTTCCTGAATCTCTCTTCTCAGAGGCAGCCAAAGACTTCCTAGATTCCAGCACTTCTATTCGGCACTTGCATTCTATTGATCAGGCAGCAGCACTTTAAAAATCCCATGGCTTCTCTGATTCAGTCTCTATGCATCTCCCCGCTGATTCAATGGCACTGTATCAGAGGCCCCAAGGCTTCTCGTTTCCGCTGTCCCTTGATATGCTTCCTTGCTTTGTTTCTGACTTGGAACCCCTTGCTGTAAGCCAGCCTTCTTCGGCACCTGTCCGTAGCCCTCAGCCTCTTGGAAGTCCACATCTCCATTAATCCAGCAACCCACCTGCAGCAAAAAGCCGTTTAAACGTGGCTTCCCCTCTCCGCTTCCATCCAAGGCTCTTCACATCTTTAAGAAGCAGGTTACAGAGTGGGGTGAAAGCGTGTACTCTCGGTACATGCAGAAAACAAAGAGAACTGATCCTTGCCATCCAAAGTTTAAGATAAAACTTCTTAAATGTGTACTTTTCAAGAGTGATCCACCCCACTGGATGAGACAGATAGATGTCTGGGGATATGGGCGGTAGTACTTTCTTGAGTAAGTACCGTTCATTGTGAGCGCCACGAAGACATGCAGGAAGTTAGGTGAGGCAGACATAAACAATGTTAAATTTCTTTCTCATCGTTATATGATGAGGGCTCCTCACCCAGCACCCGGCTGCTTAACACAAAGCACACACACACATATGCCACTTCTTTGTCCCCAAGGTCAGGAGGAGCTTTGATACTGATATGGTCACACAGCCCTAAACCCTAGCAAATGTAGCAGTCTCAGGACTTTGGCCCACTACTTGCTCTTAAATCACACGATGTCTAGAAGTAAGTAGCATGGCCCAGTGTGTGTGCGCTAAAAGACGCCCTCAGCTACCTGCTCTCCAAGGTGTTTGATGGAACGTTCACCGTCTCAGTCACAGAATCATTGTGACCACATTGCATCTAGATTACGGTAGGAAAAAAAAAAAAATTAGAAGCAAGGCAAAAGATAGAAGGGGCAGGCACTATGAGTAAGTATCTCTTACATAAACTTGTCTTGGAATACTTGAGTGTTTTTTTTCTATTTATCTCTGTGAACATCCAATTAAAATTACTTCAAAGAAAGAGCAAGTCAACGACCCTAAGTGGCCTACATACTTAATATGTGGGTTTGTTGTAACCTAGACTGGTCTCAAACTTACAGTAACCCTCCTGCTTCATTGTTATTTGTGTTGGGATAACAGATATGTGCTATGCCTGACTTACATATTGACTCAAGGCGATTCTTCACTGATCTCTTAAGATTAAAAAAAGCTTTAAGAAGATGAAAAATTTAAAGTGTAAATCTCAGGGCAAAATATTAAAATCTCAAAAAACATTAACTTTGCTGTTAATTTCATTCCCCTCACAACTCCACTAGGAAGCCTAAGTTGGTCAGAAGCCTGCCAAGGCCATGTTTTGCAATAATACCTTGTTATTAATTAGCCTGTGTTTCTGTATCTGTCTGCAGGCAATGGAACGGAGTGGCTTTGATAAGACATGTCTCATGTTTGCTTATCACAGAGACTTGGTAAGCATGTTATAATTTAGGGAAGATGCTTGGAAATTGTGTATGTGTGTGATGCGTGTGTGTGTGTGTGTGTGTGTGTGTGTGTGTGTGTGTGTGTGCTTGTGCGTGCGTGCGCGCGCCTGTATGCTTGTATATATGGGTGATTCTAGAAGGCAGGTGAGCTACTGAAGGAATGAGGTGGTTGCCTCAAACTCTCTAAACAGGGCATCCTAATACACTAATAAATTTGTTATTTTTAACTCAGGAAGGATCAAATTCATAAAGATACTGAGAAGCATGTAGGGTTTGAAGACTGACAGTTGTATGTCTGTGTCTTATGAGCTTACATAAGGCTAATCAGAATTTCCTGGTTATTGGGGTTCATACAGAAAATAAAATGGTATTGCACTGCAGAACATCAAATTCAGATGCAGATGAGTACCCCTATTGCATATCCTCTGTTAACAACTTAATTTGTCCCCTCTTTCTGATGCATGAAATTGCTTATAGAGGGGATATCTTACTTCTGTGTCATACACCAACTAATAGGACTTGGGAGTAATTTAAGCCCCCAGGAATATTTTTTTTTAAGTGGTGTCCTCTCTCGGTGTACTCTCTCTCTCTCTCTCTCTCTCTCTCTCTCTCTCTCTCTCTCTCTCTCTCTCTCTCTCTCTCAAAGACAGGGTCTCACTATATACACCAGGCTGGCTTCAAACTCACAGAGATCCACTTGCCTCTATCTGGAGTGCTGGTATTAAAAGCTTGCCCCATATGCCTGGCTAGGAAGATGACTTTTTTCCCCTTATTCAAATCAGGCTTTTTAAGGGTTCCTCCATTAAGCACTGCACATTAAAATTGAAAGCTAGGGCTGTGCTGGAAGCTGGAGGAGGGGAGGAAGGAGACAACCAAGCAGAAAGACTAAAGATAGGGAAGGCTGGAAACTTAGTACTCAATTGGTTCAGGACCAACTTATTTTGCTGGGCAAGTCTCGTTTGTCTTATTTTTTATTAGCTTTGCATTAGCGGAATGGGAGCATAAACGGAGGAGTTTCTTACGGAGAAATTCGTCAGGGAGATTCTTTTTTCATAATGAGGTTCATTTGTCATGGGCAGGCCTAGCCATACTTGTCACATGCATTCACAGGCGGCAAACCACCTTCCAAGAGATAATACTTATCTTTGTTTCTCTTCCAGGCCTCCAGGCAGGGCACACTACAACTCATAGTTAGGGTTTTTCTTCTCTGAAAGTTTCATCATTTCTCTGTGAAGTCATTTGCTTGCCACTCTCTGAGCCGCCAGGCCTGAGGAGGCATGCGGTTTCATGCAGTTTGCATGAGTAGCAGTGAAGTGAACAGACTAGTTTTAACCACACCTACTGAACTTCTATTACTGCTCTGGACAGAAAGGAAAGCTTGTGGAAAAATAACCAGTGGCCTAGATTATTATTTGCTAGTAGAAATTAAAATCACCCCGGATAGTAAAAGGACAAATGAGTCCTTCTGATATTATAAAATATGTTGACGTTGACATCTGTGTCTAAGGCACCATACGGCTTGGCTCAAGCCTACTATTTAGCCTGCGAGTTTCAGCTCTCCTATTTTCAAAGCTTAGGGCTGTAAGGAGAAGTGAGATCCGTGAGAGTAAACTGGAGTGTGAATGTTTTCTCTAGCATTTACTCAGGAGCCCACTACTCACAGTCTTTTCCAGAGCTCTTTTAGTAAGCCCAGCACTGGAGCAAAGTGGCATCCCCAGACCCACAGCCAGGACTAGTCTGCAATCCCGTTTGATATTTTAAGACAGGGGTGTCCTGTGTCCTATTTCTGCCAGTTTGTCCTCAGCCTTCCGGCCCCACTTTTGGGAGAGTGAGCAGGATAACGGAAGGTGTACGTGACCAACGGCCTCTCTTATCAGTCCTAGCACCTCCACAGACCTCGCGTCCTTCCAGTGGGACCCACCTCAGTGGGCGGGGTGGAGTCTTATCTTCCAGTCCTGGAGCGGTCAGGCGGGTGCTGGTGGCGATAGGACCGGACTACAGTTCCCAGCATCCTCCGCTCCCGCTTGCCTCCCGCCGCCTGCGGCCCACACCCCAAACGACTCTTCCAGGCTCCCGGTTCTAGTTGCAGCGAGTCTCGGTGGGTCTCGGGACCCGGGGGACTCCGGTGGCTCTGCAGGATCGGCGCTGCCCAGTCCGGGCGGGACATGGCCTTGCGGCTGGGCAGGCTGGGCGCGGGCCCCTGCTGGCGCGCGCTGCGGGGCGATTATGGCCAGCTGCGCGCCTGGTCCCCGCGCGGCGCGTCCGCCCGCGTCTCCCGGCTGCCTGGCACCGCTGCTCCCCAGCCTCGCCGCGGGCTGGGCCATAGCCCCTCGGCTGGAGGCGGGTCCTGGCTGGGGACCGGGCTGGCCGCGGCGCTGGCCGGGTTCGCAGGGCTGGCAGCCGCCGCCTTCGGGCACGTGCAGCGGGCGGAGATGGTGCCCAAGAGCTCCGGGGCGCGAAGCCCCTCGCCCGGACGGCGGGAGGAGGATGGTGACGAGCTGGCCCGCCGCTGCAGCGCCTTCATGACCTCGCCAGTGACAGACCTGCGTGAGCTGCGGAAGAGGCCCGAGGACATAAAGACCAAGATGGAGCTGATGATCATGGAGACTCAGGCCCAGGTGTGTCGGGCGCTGGCCCAGGTAGACGGAGTGGCCGACTTCACTGTGGACCGATGGGAGAGGAAGGAAGGTGAGCAGACCTCTCTTGTCACCTACTGTGGGATGGAGTGGGCACCGGATGCAGCTGAGAATTAGGGGTAGGTTAAAGTAGGCAGTACCCATGTGGGGACTGCTCTGTTAGAAGGGGCATCCTTAAAAAGACAGACATTGAGAGCCGCTCTCTGCAGATGTGGATCCAGATGTGCCAACAACAACTTAGAACAAGTCATTTAACATATTGCCAATTTATGATTGCACTTTCTATAGGGTTATTAAGAAACGTTTGCAGGCAACAAACTGCAGCTTGCACGTCCACACTTCAAAGTTTGTTTCCGAACAGATTTTTTTTTTTTTTTTCCTCCTACATTTCATCTGTTGGTTAGGGTGCATTTGTCCCTTGTCCTATAGAGGAAGAAGGAACACTGCTACTTCATTCTGAGTGTCTCCTAGAAACCCTTCTGTAACCTTTTGGGGGTTACAGAAGAAATGTTGATTAGTGTTTCAGCAGCTCTTACTGAATTGGATATGTTAGATTTCTTGAAGGAAAACTTTTCCTTAGAATCCCAAAATACCTTGTCATTCTTGTCATGTATCAGTGACCATATTCCCTATACAGCTGATGTTGTTCCCTGAGTACCCTCCCCAGGACTCCCCTCACATTTGGATCTTAAATGTGATGATTGCTGACCATTTCCCAGCTAGAAATACAATGACATTTCGTCAACACATTTAGAGCTGTGATACTGTCACATCGATGTTAAATGACATTCAGACTGATCTAGTTTTCCAGCTTGTAATGTTTTCAAGTAAAGGCCACAGACCTAGGCCACAGTCTCACATACTACATATAGCTAGCTTTGTAACCTTTGGAAGTTACTGTTTCATAATTCATAATTTTATGATGTTATGGCTATATGTAGAGTGCTTAGAATGTCAGAAACATGGTCAACACTTGAAAAAAAAAATTCACTTACTCCTCCCAGGTGTGAGATCTCGGATATGTTGTCCTGCTTCCTTTGAGTTTTTCTGGATTGGAATGCTCTCAAGGGTTGTACTGGGTCATCATGTGACACACACACACACACACACACACTCTCTCTCTCTCTTACCAGCTCTTAGAAATAAAGTAAACCAATCATTAATTTTTGAGAAGAATGGCTTTTGGGGGAACCTATTGTCTTAAAGAAAAAAATCCTATTAAACTCATATACCTAAATAGTAATATATAAGATTCTGAATCCCTTAAGAGTTTGAATAGCTATATTTTTTTAGTTGTATGTAAAAATGAAAGGTAATAGCAGGTTGAGGAAGGAGAAAAAAACCCATGAAGCAATATGGAGTTCTTGTATTCAGTGAAAGTAGAACACTGTTTGAATGTACACACTCCTGCCTGTGGCATTAGCTTTCTATTTTGTGAATGACGAATGGATTTCTTTTAGGGATGTTTGAACAAAGAGTGCTTTGGTGTTTTGTTAGGCTATAGCATGAGGGCACAGAAGAAACATCCATTCTAGTGGCTTGTGTGTCAGGGTTCAGTGTTTGCTTAGTATGAACAATTTATGACAGAAAGCTAAGCTAATCATCCAATGTACTACACATAAAAATATGCTATTATAGATGGTTTTGGAGCTAGAGGAAGAAGCGAACTCCTCATGCTGCTGTGTTCACAGGAGAGTTGTTTCCCACTTGATGTCCTCTGTTCTCTGGTTTTCTGTTTCTGCGAACAGGGGGTGGTGGCATCACCTGTGTGCTTCAGGATGGGCGTGTGTTTGAAAAGGCTGGGGTAAGCATTTCTGTCGTTCATGGGAATCTCTCTGAGGAAGCGGCCAGCCAGATGCGAGGCAGAGGAAAAGTCCTGAAGAGGAAAGATGGTGAGTCGGTAACTCCTCCTCCAACTCTTTCTCCAACCAGTTTTACTTAAAAATAGCCCTTTCTTCTGGAACATACGCCCAGTAAGCACGTTCACATGCTTTCACTGTGAAAATTAAGGGACACATTACAAAGCAGCTTCTGATAATGGATTCAGAAACCATAGGGAGTAATGTGTGTCAAACCAGGCGATTGAATGCATCTCACTATGTTACTTTCCTTTCCAGGTAAATTGCCATTTACCGCTATGGGTGTGAGCTCTGTGATTCACCCCAAGAATCCTTATGCACCCACAATGCATTTCAACTACAGATACTTTGAAGTAGAAGAAGCTGATGGTAAGTCCTTCAAAGAGTTGTGCAGAATATCACTGTGCAAAGTCTGTGTTTTAAAGAAATTGAAAGGTACCGGATTAGAAAGTGAGAAAAGACAGGATTATTGTATTTTTCAGTAGCTCTGTAGAGGCTTCGGGGTGTATAGGACCTGAAACAGGATATCAATTCTCTCCTCCAGTGTTTCCTCCACACAGAATGATTTGTGAACCAAAATTTCAATCCCACTACAAAGCTTTTTGCAAATATAAACTTGTTGTTTCTGAAATTGAAAACTTGCCATTGGGGCACACACCTGAGGACTGAATTGGGATTCCCCACACACTCATTTAAAAAGCTAAGAGCTAGGGTGTATCGGTAGAAGGATAACTGGAGCATCAGTATAGCTAATTGGTGAGGTCCAGGTTCCTTGAGAGACCACGTCTCAAAACAAATGAGAAGGAAAAGTGATTAAGGAAGACATCTAATGTCAACTTCTGGCCTCTACACAAATGCACATGGGTGCATGTGTACCCCAGTGCACCTGCGCACACACAAACATTATATACTCATATCAATGAATTAGGTTGCTGAATTAAGCTTGTTAGTATAACCCCTGAAGTGCTCGAGTCTCTAGGCAACATTGATTCAGCCCCCTTGTTTTGGTAGGTAATACGCACTGGTGGTTTGGGGGTGGATGTGACCTCACACCAACATACTTGAACCAAGAGGATGCTGTCCATTTTCACCGCACTCTAAAGGAAGCTTGTGACCAGCATGGGCCAGATATCTACCCCAAATTTAAAAAATGGTAAGCTGTTGAGACTGTATTTTCAGTAATCTTTTATGGACCTTATTTATATAAAGACTATGTAAAGAACTCTTTCCAAGTTAAGGACAATTCTACATGATTAGCATTAGTAAGTGGTGTCTTAGGAGACTTGTTTTATTAGACAGAGGACAAAAGCATCCAAAGTAGGTTGATGGCTTCTTGTGCTGGCTCAGAAGCGTTGCTTCTAGACGTTCTGTAAACATTTCCTTCTGCCAGCCTTTCCCCCAGCTGGGCATGCTTTAGAGTCACCCCTTCTAATACTGAAAGAGACCTACAGTTGTTTACAGCATCCCACTTTTGGTGAATGAAGACACATAAGAGCCCAGCCTTGCACCCCAAGTGGTTTCAGCACGGAGACCCTCATCCTCTGCTTTGTGTAAAAGCAGCAGTGTTCCAGCAGGTGGTAACCACTTGCTTTAGGAAGTATAGTGGCCGTACTGTACTCTTGTTTTATTTACTGAAGTTCCTAGTGTTCTTTATCCTTCAGATTGGCTTGTTTTGAACTGTCTGGTTGCCCTGCAGTTAAGAGAGCACAAATGTCCTGCATGGGTAATAGCCTCAGAAAATCTGGCCAAAGTCCTAGTTTCATAGCTGAATAGAAAATAAAGATCCTAATGGTGCGCTTTGAACCTAAAGGCCTGTATCTATTTCCATGTCTCTTTCATCTTACCTTTTGGTCCATGATTTAATTCTACTGCATGTTCTAGGTGTGATGACTACTTCTATATAGTGCATCGTGGAGAGCGTAGGGGCATTGGAGGCATCTTTTTCGATGATCTCAACTCTCCATCCAAGGAGGAAGCATTCAGCTTTGTTAAGACGTGTGCCGAAGCTGTGGTTCCTTCTTATGTTCCCATTGTGAAAAAGCACTGTGATGACTCATTCACACCCCAGGATAAGCTGTGGCAGCAGCTGAGGAGGGGACGGTGAGTAATTGAAGAATGAACATGAACTGTCTCTTTGTACAACTTACAGAAGTATTGTTGGGGGGGTTCTAATATAATAGTGCCTATTGAATTGTTTTGGTTAAATACTTTATAATTAGTCATATGACTCCATACTGTTTTTTCTTAAGTAGATGAATATTAAAAATGAATTTAATAGCATTGTGTAATAATCAACATCACAAGGTTTACTCAGTACACACACACACACACACACACACACACACATATATTCATGGTAGACTCATATGCCATATAAGGTAAGTACTTGGAAAATTTAATTCTCTTCATTTCCTAAGGATAGTTTCTATCCTTCTCATCATTTAGGGTTTTTTTTTTTTTTTTTTTTCTGCTCATAAATTTCTAGTTACACTTTAAAAAATTCATCTTCAATATGTTATGAAAGCAATTTTGATACAAATAATTCATTCTTAATGATAATTTTTACTTACGCTGAACCTCTTGCTATGCATAGCCCCTGCATGAGGTATTTTGTATCTGGTTTCCCCAGGAAACCTGTGGTATACATGACACCATCATTTAACTGATCATAAGGTGTCCTTATCAAATTAATTCCTTTGCCCAAGGTAACTCGGCAGGTCCAATAACATTCCAGATGTGAAACTGAATTGTCCTGTATGTTCTTTTCATCCTTACTTATCCCCAGCCCCTGACTCTGTACTGAACTTGGTGAGTTCATAACTGGCGAGATAGGTTGTGTGTGTGTGTGGTGATATATTACTTATGATTTATTAAAGCTTGCCTGAGGATTCAGAAAGCAAAGTCAGCCACAAGCTATAGAAGCCAGACACATACCTTTAATCTCAGGATTAAGAGGTAAATGGATGTCTGTTAGTTCAAGGCTATATGAAATTGATCCAGTCCTAAAGAGAAGCAGCTCATATAAAGACGATCACTTGGGATCACATGCCTTTAATCCCAGGATTTATGAGAGGCATTTAAGACAAGAACAGGATCTCAGAGTAGGCATTCATTCTCCAGCCATAGTGAGGCCAGGAAGATATTGACATCTCAGGATTCCCCAGATGTGCTAAGGAGAGGCAACAGTGTTAGGAACTAGCAGCCAGCTGACCCCCACCCCGACGAAGGGCAGGATGCTCATGGCCGTGTCATCGCTAGTCAGCTTTACCTGGTGGCCAGAGGACTCAGTTACTCATGTGCAAGCCTCTTTTAAAGCAAGCACGCCAAGTGCTTCTCTCTCTCTGCCTCTCTGCCTCTCTTTGCTCTTCTCTGTCTGCCTCTCTGCTTCTTTGCTCTCTCTCTGTTCCCTCTCTCTCTCTCTCCTGCTTTCGGTTGGCCACCAGCTACCCCCTCTTTCTCTCCCCTCTCTCAATAAACTCCACGTGGGCGCTGAGTCTCGTGTTTGTGTTTCTTAGGCATTAGCTGCAGCAAAAGAACAACAAACAGTCTGAGGTTTGATTGAGCCAGGATCACCTTTCAGTCTGAGGTAGAGTAAGACCTAGTGACCAGCTGCTTTGCTTTTCTGTTCTCCAGGCAGGCTTTAATAAATCATAAGTAATATATCACCACAGTTGTTGTCATGACCTAGTCACATATCTGCTCTGCCAGCCCCCTATTTCTTTTGGCCATCTTAACTGCATATGTACCATGAGTCACAGCCAACTGAAGTCTTCTAATTCATGTTAATTCCCTTGGTCACCTGAAACTTTGAGCCCTAAGGGAGGTAAAACTGTGCCTCGAAGAGGCCCTGAAAAAGTCAATTTAAATATTTCAAGTTGAAGGACAAGTGTTTGTTTGTATTTAACTTTCTGGGATTGTATGTTTTGCTTAAATAATTGTGTGCCCTGTTTGGTCCCCATGTAACAACCTGATGAAGTGTATTCAATTTTCTTTTAGAAAATGTTTAAGCAGTGCATGTTTGGCACCCTTCCCCCAACACATACACAGTTTGTCAAGTACACACTTCCCATTCTGTCCTTCTTTCTCTAGACTTATCTTGCCCTCCACCCCCCAAGGTAAGGGCTGACTACAGAGTAGGCAGGCATAGCATAGGTGGGAAGGGAAGGGATTGCTAATTAGAATTGCTTCAGGCCAGGCAGTGATGGCTCACACCTTTAATCCCAGCACTGGGAGGCAGAGGTAGGTGGATCTCTGTGAGTTCGAGGTCAGCCTGATCTACAGAGCAAGTCCCAGGACACTAGGACTGTTGCACAGAGAAACTCTGTCTTGAAAAAACAAACAAAAAAACAAAAACAAACAAACAAAAAAACAACCCCCTTCCCCTATCCCCCTCTGCCCTCTGCTTCAGTATTGGACACATTCAGTATACAAAGCATGAAAGTTTTGTGAATCCTCCTTAGGTGATGCTTTTACCACTTAGACAAATGACAGTGCTTTTCTTTTTCATGATTTGATTGATGGCAGACCATTCTGTGAATTCTACTCTGTGTGTGTCTCATTGTCTGTCCACTGTCTTTTGCCTTAGAAAATGTGTGGAGTGCTAGATTAATTCCTCATGGCTTAGCTGTCACTAATGTTCAAATAAAAGCTCCCTGTCACCTTTCTGTCTGGGTTGGAAGTGGGTTCTGGGGCTTAAGATAACCCCAGCATCATCATAAAGAGGCCTAGGGGTCAGCAATGGCTTCAGCTCTTACTCTGTGTCCTTTACAGACCTTTCCCCTCCCCCACCCCGAAAAAGACTCCCTTTCGGGACACACTTGTATCCCTTTCGACTTTATTTACATTCTCTTATTTGTGTATCCCATCTAGTTGGCTGTCTCAGTTACTACTGTCCTCTTCTTAGACCTCGAACCTTAGTCTCCTAGTCATCTTTCCATAGGAAAATAGGAACTAAAATTTCAATTATATTTTCTTTTCTTATTTTTGGGAAAGGGAGGACAGCAGGATAGAATAGAAGCATTTGTGAGATTGAAGCAATTTTTAAAATTTAAATTAGAAACAAGCTTTTTTTTTAATATGTCAATCCTAGTTCCCTTTCTCTCCCCTCCTCCCCTGCCCCCCACCAACCCCCTATCCCATCCCCTTTCTGCTCCCCAGGGAGGGTGAAGCCTTCCATGGGGATCTTCAAAGTCTGTCATATCATTTGGGGCAGGGCCTAGGCTCTCTCCCATGTGTCTAGGCTGAGGGAGTAACCCTCTATGTGGAATGGGCTCCCAAAGTCAATTTGTATATTAGGGATAAATACTGATCCACTACCAGAGGCCCCATAGATTGCCCAGTCCTCCTAACTGACACCCACATTCAGGGGGTCTGGGTTGGGGTCCTATGCTGATTTCCCAGCTATCAGACTGGAGTCCATAAGCTCCTCCTTGTTCAGGTCAGCTGATTCTCCAGCCTGGTCTTGTCCCCTTTGCTCATCACTCCTCCCTCTCTGAAACTGGACTCCAGGAGTTTAGCTCAGTGTTTGGCTATGGGTGTCTGCTTCTGCTTCCAACACATACTGGATGAGGGCTCTAGGATGTCATATAAGGTAGTCATCAATCTCATTATCAGGGAAGGGCATTTAAGGTAGTCCCTCCACTATTGCTTAGATTGTTAGTTGGAGTTGGGATTATCCTTGTAAATCTCTGGACATTTCTCCTAGTGCCAGATTTCTCTTTAAACCTATAATGGCTCCTTCTATTATGATATAAAGAAGGTTGTTAAGAGGGGAAATCCTTTCCCACAGAGTCAGGAATGAGGTGTTTTTTTTTTTTTTAATTGCTTAATATTTTGAGACAGGTAGAAGAAGGAAAGAAGGAATAAAATAGTCATTAGTTCATGAAAGCCAGTCAGTGACAAAGAAGATGGAGACAGAAAGGAATCCATAGATACACTTGCTTAAATTGGTAAGGTTCTCTGACAAACTTCCACACAAAGCTTTTTTCCAAAAGTGAAGTACTGCCGGGCGGTGGTGGTGCACACCTTTAATCCCAGCACTCAGGGGGCAGAGGCAGGTGGATCTCTGTGAGTTTGAGGCCAGCCTGGGCTACAGGACAGGCTCCAGCAGGACAGAGAAACCCTGTCCCTGGGGAAAAGAGAGTGAAGTACTATAGGTGTTTTCTGTTTGTTACCTTGTTGTGTTTTGTTTTTTGCTCTTGATGGGCTTGAAGACAACAACTTGTGCACTAAATAAGAATGTCTGACGGAGTTTGGACTGAGAGTGGCTCCTGAACAAGTCAGGAAATGACTGGAGAGGGCTTTGTAGAAACTCATGTTTATGAATCATTCTGAATTCTTTTTTAAAAAATGATTTATTTGCTTTTATTTCATCTGCATTGGTATTTTGCCTGCATGTACGTCTGGGTGAGGAGTCAGATCTTGGAGTTAAAGACAGTGGTTAATTACGATGTGGGTGCTGGGAATTGAACCTGAGTCCTCTGGAGCTGTAGTCAGAGCTCTTAACCACTGAGCCATCTACCAGCCCTCATTCAGAATTCTTTAGGACAGTAGAAATTACAGTTTTAGATTTGAAGGGTCTTTTGAATACTATGATGTGTAAGGCAGAAACAGATGTTTAGACCGGGTGGAGTTCCAATCTGTTTTCCTAACAGTGATCAGAAAATTTGGACAATACACCAAACTCAACTTGACTTAGTACCAAAGATATTTTCATAAAGAAAAAAGAATGTAAAACTAAGCACTGGACTGCAAAGCAGTAGCTCCTGTAGTGTGGCTGTAAACAGAGAGGAAAGGAGCGGTCCCTCTCCGGATGCTGGGAACTGCTGTGGAGAGGGAGCAGGATCTGGGCGCTGTTAGTTGTTAACTTAACTGATGGCTCCTTGCTTAGTGGTACTTGGTCCTTCCCTGTAGACATCCAGCACTCCTAGTATAGTGCTGTGTGTTTACTACTCTCAGTGGAGTGCTGTGAGGTGGAATGAGATGAAGCCCTCTTTCTGAAATGCCCTAGGCTGCGGTGAGGACCAGAGCTGTGTTACCCACGAAAGAATGCTGTTTCTTTCTTAATTGTTGTGCATGCCCAGTCCCAGTTTGTGTTTCAATTGTTTGTTCACAGGGAGAATGTAACCATCTTGATTTGTTCAGTGTTGGGCGCAATCTGTATCCCATTGTTCAGCAGGAAGAATAATACCCTTTTATTTATGTTTCCCAGAGGAGACAGCTCCGAGGGCTATGAGCTGCTTCTGGGTGGTGGCTCTCAGGTGACAGGGGTCTGGAGAGAAGTTCCCTATCAGTGTTCCTTAGGGATTTCTGGAAGGCTCAGCTCAACACACCCTTACTGGTTTTTGTGTTTTCATGTACATTATTTTATTTGGAAATGTTTATAACAGTACAGTGAAACTAGGCTTCAGAGACAATGGCTGTCATTAGTTTAGGCATCATCAGTTTATTATAAAAGGGAGACATGGAAATTATTTATGGCATGAATAGTTCAGTGGAATGGACAACTTCATGTGACACTATTTCAACAGTGATTTCAGTCCACATACTTTCCAAATGTCTCCATCTCAAATAAGTAATCCTGTTGTCTAGAAATACTTTGGTGTCTCCATATTCTGGGAGAAGAACTTTGAGTCCAACTTTCACACTGAGCGGTTGAATCTCTCCATCCTTTCCTTTTGCTCCTGATCCCACAGCCACTACTGTTGCTTGCAATGCTTTTCCTTGAGACTTTTCTGGAAGCAGAATGCCACCTTTGATTACAGTTTGGGTGGCACTCCTTTTAACCAGTACTTGCCAAAGAGCGGAAGAAACTTTCTGAAAGCTTGTTCAGCCATGACTTGTGCAGCTGCAGCTTGGAGTATGCACTTGGGGCCACCCCAGCAAGGAGAGTCCTGCAGACCTGCTCAGGACACGTGGGGGAAAAAAACCCAAAAAACAAAAACCACGCCCTTATTGTTATTTGGTGTCTTTTTGACAGGTACGTAGAGTTTAATCTGTTGTATGACCGCGGCACCAAGTTTGGCCTCTTTACTCCAGGATCCAGGATCGAAAGCATCCTCATGTCCTTACCTCTAACAGCCCGGTAAGAAGACAGCTCATCGTAGTCACTGTCCCATCCAGTCCCTGTGCCCTACAGAATCTGCACCAGAATCTGCACGTTAACTCTGACAGTTACCTGCAACTTCACCTGTTTCATTTTTTTGACTTTTATAAGGAAATCATGGGTGGATAAGGAGCATCAAATTGGATTTTGTAAGAAATGACAGGACTCATGCTGCAGCTGTGTGTGTGAGGATCTGGAGAGAACACAGGGGTGGAAAGTACTGCTTGAGGGTTTGAGGTTGACATTGCTCACATCCTTGTTGGAAATATACATGTGTAAAACAACTACCTATGTATCATCCAAGGTTCTATACTTTATGAAACCCTAGCTTATAATCAAAGTGTATTTTGACTTTAGGATCTTAATATTAACCCAGATATACCTAAGAATTATTAAAAAAAAAAAAAAAATTAACCTAAGTAGTAAGGCAGGGTAGGCACAGGGAAGTGGAGGTACAATGCTTTTTTTCTCTTGGGATTTTATTCTTCATTACTTATGTGTGTCATTTATTGTTATTTTGTTTTCATTTTCTCACTTTGTTTTGGATGTGTATAGATGGGAATACATGCACTCGCCACCAGAGAATTCCAAGGAAGCTGAAATTCTGGAAGTATTGCGCCATCCGAAGGACTGGGTACACTGATTCAGCAGAGCCTTGTTGCAGGGCCTGGTGGACACAGGCGCGGTCTTCCTGCACTGCTGCCACTGTGTGTGGCAGGCAATCCTCCTCGGTGCCTTACTGTCCCAGCCTTCTGCACTCTGGGCACCACCTCTGTGGCAGGTGGTTTGGGATCTTTTCCAGTACTGTGGGGTGAGGTAGCAATGATGGATGGTGATATAAAAATGCCAGATTCATTGGATGTGATGACCATTTGTACTTTTAGAATCAGGTTCTATGACCCGTTAATTTAACATTGGGTTTCCAGGTTGTAAGATAAGGGAATGTCAGAACTATAATATGGACCAGGAAACTCTTCCTTTTATTTGTTGGTTCAGTTTTTACTTGTTGCCACAGGAATTTATCAGGGGATACATTTTATCTTCATTAGTTCAGTCAGGTGGCCCTTCTTGGTAACTTTGGAATGCAGTTTGAAGCCTTGTCCTCAGGAGGCAAAGGCAGGAGTTCAAGGCCAGCCTGGTCTACAGAGTGAGTTCCAGGACAGCCAGAGCTCTCCACAGGGAAACCCTGTCTTGAAAAGCCAAAAAAAAAAAAAAAAAAAAATGCAATTTGAAGGGATATGTTTTCCTTTGTCATTTTTGAAGTATCTTTGATGTAACTTGCTTGTGTCTTTCTCTGTCAACTAGAGCATTATAAAAGTACTTTTTTTTGGTATAAAGATAGGTATTTTGGAGCACTTGAAATTTTCTTAAGTCAATTCCTGCATTATAATTCAATGATGACCTACAGTTTACAACTGTAAGTGGCATTATTTAAATAAGGGGATGTCTAAGGGGTGGTTTTTTTGTTGCTGTTGTTGGTTTTTTTTTTTTTTTGTGCGAATGATAATTTGCTGACATTAGGATTCTATGTATTTTTTAAAGCAAAAGCTTCTATCCCTGGATTCTGATACTTAGAGTTTTATATTTCAGACATTTAGATATGGGAGTTTAGACTAAGAATAAATGAAGAACATTTTCCTCTGTTAATTAAAATGAATAGAACTAGTCTAACATGTGGGCATTTTATATTTTTTAAAAAATGGACCAGTTGAAATTGTCCTACTTTTCAAATTAGAGATGATTCCTCAACTTTTATCTTTTCTCTTAAAAGTCATAGCATATTTCTTAGTGCATGGTTTATCTGTAAAATAATAGTATGACTGTGCTGTCTTACTTGATTCCTAATATATTGAATTTGTAAGGAGCAATGTCTCATAAATATTTAAATATTATCTTGGAATATGTTGAATGTATGTGATTGTGTTTGGCTCTTGTAGGGTGAGAAAATCTATAGATTCTTCCACATGTCTTATACAGATCCAGTCAATAAATTTTATTTTGAAATAAGACAAGTAAGCATGTGTAGTCTTTCTTTTATTGGAACGACTTAGGGATACAAATATTTCTCAGTGCTAAGACCATAGTTCCTTATTACAAGGTGTTTTCTCCAAGGGAAATATAAATTTTGCATTTCATTTTCTTAGCAATGTTAGTAAGAACAGACTAAATTAAAAGCACCTGAAATGGCAAATGAGCAGGTAAATGGATAAACAGTTCGTGACTACACAAGCAGTAAAATACACTGAGCAACAGAAAAGGATTATCAAGTGAAAACAGTGTGCGAGGCGTCCGAGGTACTGCGGCAACACAGAAAGAACAGGCTGACAATTGTCCCCTGTGAAAACTAGACCAGGAAGACCCTATGCAGGGAAGCAGGTCCCTGGCCACCACTGGCTGCAGGCAGGGAGCTAACTGTGTTTTCTGTGCTATGACCGAGGTGACGATGGTTATTAGACTCTATACATTTATGAAAATTCACTCAACTCAACATTACAACATCATAAAACTTTTCTTGTGTCTATGGGTAATATTTCAATGCTGATGTTGGAAGAGAAGCATAAGAACAGATATTTAAATACGTCTGTTTGGTTACCTTTTAAGAACTGAAAATGTCAAGCTGAGCATATGGTTCAATCGTAGAGCCTGTCTAGCATGTATAAAGTCCTGGGTTTTATTCCCAGAACTAGGGGGTGGGAACCACCCAGATCTCTGACTGATTTAGTGGTATTTAAGGTCTATATGTGATAGACACAAAACAAAGATGAAATTTCAAAATCCTATGCATCTGTTTAAATTCTTCAGTAACCACGGTGGAGCCATGTCTGGGAAACCAGTAACAACTGCAAACTTGAAGATGATTCTGTTCTTCAAAGTAAATTGCTCTTTCACAATCTCATTGATGCTATTCTGAGTTTACCAGATGAGGGTACATGCCCTCATCTGGTGGTATAATCACCTGACTCCTGTTGTCTTACACAGGCATGCTGTTGGCCGTAAGGGTGTGTCAGGAGAGATGTAAATAACACAGGGACAAGTATCTAACTTCCCTCCCACCCCTGTGCTGTGCTTGCCTAGAGTAGTCTGATTTCTATTACTGTGATGGAACACCAAAGGCTGGGTATTTCATAAAGGGTTACATTGTTGCTTTGGATGCTAAAAATTGAGGCTTAGACAGCTCCATTAGTTCGGCCTCTCTTTTGGGCTGGGTCACAACGTGGCAGAGAAAAGGGAGGGAAGTAGTCATCCACAGTAGAGGGCAAGCATGTGCAATGGCTATCCTTTATCACAACACTCATGAGAACCACATTCCAAGGAATCAGTGTTTATCCCTTCCCAGGGCAGTGTGCCCAGTGACCTAACCACCTCACATTACATGATATCACTTCAAATTTCTACCGCCTCAAAATCTAAGCAGAGAGGACCAAACAACAGTAGTCAGCTGTTGAGCATGCCCAGATCAGAGAATATATTTATACAGGATGTATCTTTGCATGTGACAGTGGGTCATGATGCCCCCTGGTGGCTCAGAACATGTACTCCATGGGACAAAATGGAAGCAGCATATGGGGTTTCTGATCTAACCTCTGAAGTTATGAATTGTCACTTGTTCCAGATTCTACTGGTTACAAAGGAGTCTATATTCAAGGGGTAGGGAATTAGTTTCCAACAGCCTGCTTGGCCTCTAGTCATTCTGGGTCCTTCAGAGTTGTTTATCTAGATCTTATTGGCACTTCCACACTGAATATTCAAAGCAAGTCCTTTAGAAAATCCGAAATTAGTCCTGCTGCCCTTTGCTTTTTCTGTGTTACTTTCATATGCTTTGCCTTCAGGCTATTTTCTGAACATCCTTCCGGATATGCCACCTCAGACCTTCTGGAAATTGCTCTCTTTGCATGGACCCTCATGCGCTTGTTCATCATTCCTATGCCAAGTTCAAATCTTAAGAACCCTGTCCTGGTAATAGTCCCAACTGCTTGTTCAACACATTTCTTATTTTTCTTATTACTGTCATCATAGTAGTAATCCAGTGTAAATTACATCAAAAACAAAGTATGTAAGATGGGGTTTATTTACATTACTTAGGAGTGCCTTGTTAATCCTTTGTTTCCTGTGTCTTTGCAGAACATTATGACATCAAACTTAACATTGTAAAACAAATCCTAATCTGTGAAAGCGAGTTCCAAGGATCCATCTAGAAAAGCCCATTTAGAAATTGTGTTCCTGCCCCAAATATTAGGAATGTATTTGAAAGCCCATATTCTAAAGTTGAGTTCCTCCCAAAGAAACATACCTTTCTTACATCTTATTTCATAATAAGCCTTATTTAGAACCATTAAATTAGTGAGACTTGGGTGCTAGAATGCTTGACTAATCCTGTATTACCTGAATCCCAGTCACAATAGAGAACCTCACAGACTGGTTTCTACAAGTGGTTTTAAATCAAGCCCACACTGAGGTGTGCCTGCAGAGAAAGGTAATCAAACTGCATTCCATCTTCCCTGCAGAGTTCCCGGTTCAAGTCATTCGACTGGCATTTCAGAATGTCTTTCACCTACGGTCTCTTGTCTCTTTCATGTTTCAGAAATGTGCTTTATCATGAAACTTGGCAAGATTTAACCCACCATATTCTCAACAAGATTGCCACAAAGCTGGCCACAGGATGACAATTGCCACACTATTCTGTTTTGGTAATGGTAATTTGCTTATTAAATGGTTGGTGAGGCCTCCAACTAAAGGTCATTTTAGTGATAAGCTAACACATTTATGAATTAGTCTTGAGATGGTTATTTTCTTCGCCCTGTCCATTTTTCACTCGGGTAAGGCAGGAACCCCTTTTCACGATCTGTTCCAGACTAACTATAAGTATAATGTGTGAATGCAACCCAACTTACCAAATTCTTGAAGTTGTAGCTTAACTTTTAGAAACAATAGGTTCAATAAATATCCTTTAAAATATTTGAATTATAGTATCTCCCACAATACAACTCAGCAGCTTGTGCTGAAGGTAGTTTTTATCTGTAAAGTGCAATTCCTCTTTTACCCTACTCAACACGAAGGGGTACTTAAAAATAATGTGTAGCATTATTTTAATGGCTCAGCAGTTAAGAGCCCTGGCTGTTCTTCCAGAGGACCTGGATTTAATTCCCAGCACCCATGTGGTAACTCACAACTGTCTGTAACCCCATTCCAGAGGATCTGCCACCCTCACACAGACATACATGTAGGCAAAACACCAATGCACATAAAACAAATAATTAAAATATAGGAAGCACTGAGCAAGGACCTTCTTTTCCTCATTTTAGTAAGGAATGGGACACAAGCCACCTTCCTTGCTAACAGCCAAAGGCAGTCTTCTCAGCTGGCACTGGCTTGCGAATAGAAACATGTTATTCCTGAGATCCTAGAGTTACTGATTCACAGAATCTTGGTTCAGGACAAAGTGGTTGTTGTGGTATGTCATTAAACGCGAGGTTTGGTAAACAGCAATCAATAGCTGGAACGTGGTAGGCACTGTTTACAAAATCAAGGGGAGATTTTTGATGAGCTGCCCTTGCTAGTATTTAGAGACGGGAACCTACAGCTCAACCTAGAAGCATAAATATACTTATTACTTATATAAAGGTGGTAATTGGAAAAGTGGAAGCAGGTGAACGGCCCAAGGAAGTGAGAACCATATCCTAAGAAAGGAAGGCACAGACTGAACTAGGGCAGAGGAATGGTCAGGGGAGGAAGTCCCAGGGGAGGAAGCCAAGAAACAGCTCATCTAACTGGAACAGGGAAGAGGGAAATTGCAAGGCCATGTGCAGTGTGACTGCCATAGGGTGGAAACTTTACGGCTGCTGTTTGTGAAGGAAAGAGAAGGTGGTGGTGTAGTGCTCCTTGTCAACATGCTTGATCAGTGTGGAATGAAATTAATACTTTACAAACCGTTGTAGTCCATTTGTAACGAGGTTTGCTCGGTGCTAAAAGCTAGGTAACAATGATTTGCAATGACATGTGCAGTGTCTGCAGGCTCTTACTGCATAAACTGGACATTCTTGACAGAACCAATAGGTGGAGCAGCTATGTTCAAGAAACGTAATTCTAGATTTTGGAGGGGAGGTAGAGGGGAGGTGTAAAAATGAAGAAAATTAAGGAAAGAGGGAGAGTGATAAAAGGAGGAAGAGGGAGAGGAAGAGGGGGACAGAGAGATGAATATTCAGTAGATGAGAGCATAATAAGACAAGATGCGAGAGCCTTCAAAACCTGTGCTCCTTAAACTCGCTTCTCTGGAGACTGTTAGCTCGACACAGCGTTACTGCTGTTCATGTCTCATCACAAGGGCCACCACGTTCCATGTTTCTCACAAATATCAGGAACTGCTCTACCTGCCATGGAGTAAAGTTGCAAGAATGTTGCATGGCTGAACCAGGGTTCTTGTCAGGGCTCCCATAGAACCTATCCTGGAGCTGACTTCATGAGAAAATGTTTGCCCTTTTCCGAGAATGTCTGTTATAGCATGTCAACAAAAGTATCACGTCATCTGTTGAAATAATTCAAATGGAACTATTCAGTGAAACCAAGAGGTAATACATAGCAGAGACATGCTTAAGAAACAGTGCTTTGGAAAGTAGTACATGGCAGCTGTCCCAAGCAGGAACAAAAGTTTAAAGATGAGTTAAGTAAAATAGCCACATCCAAAGGACATCAAGGAAAACTAAGTGTGACATATAGAACTATGAAAGCCAAAGAACTACATGATGTAACCTCACTCACATGGGAGCCAGTGCACAAACAACGAAACAGATGTAAGGAGAAACTAAACTAAAACACACTCGGAGCAGGTAACGTACTTTACTAATGTGACAGACTAAGCACCAGAGAGTGATTTGCACTTCTGTATAGCAGGGTTCAAAATAGCCAAGTTACCCAGCCAGCCTAGGTGTCCGTGGATATATGAACAGATTAAGAAGATGTATGTACACAATGGAGTTTGCAGCCACGAGGAGGGCACAGGTAGGTTGTATGCAGGAGGG